GCGACCCGCGGGTCCGCTTTGTCCCCCAGGCGCCCGGCGCGGCGCTGCAGGGGCGACGCGGCGAGCGGGGCGCCCGGGGCGCGGGTGCGGGGAGCCGGGGCGTGCGCGCGCGTGCTGGCCGCTCGCCGATGGGGCCTCGAGCCGCCGATTCCTGCCGAGTAAGCAGTCTGGCTCCTCGGCGGCTGCACAGTGGCAGCAAGGCTGGCGCGGGCGCCGCGCCAGCCCCATCAGAATTAGCTCATTGTTCACTAGCACACTAGCAGGGGAGAGAGCGAGCGTGCGCGCGAGAGAGCGCGCGAGAGAGACTCTTAGAGAAAGAGAGACACACTCTCTCTCGGAGAGAGCGCCAGGCAGGGCAGACCTTCCCCTGCTTCTTTTTCCAAGGCTGCACTTCTTGGAAGTGAAGCGGTTTGGGGTTTGTTTCCCCTCCCCCTCCTCCCTTCTCTTCCTCCACCCCTTTCCCCTCCCCCTCCCCCAGCTGTCTTTCTAGCATGATGCCCTTTTTCATCCACATTTGTGTTTCAGGTGTAGAGAGGAGAGAGAGTGGACAGGGAGCGGGGCTTTTGTCTGTAAGTATATGCCATTCCTATCTCCGGCTGGGAGCGCTGCTTTCTCTTTTGTGTCGTTTCCTTGCCGTTGCTCTTAGCTGGACCCTTCAACCCTGCAGAGTTCATGCTTCCTCCCTCTAAATTGTAAAGAACTGAAGCGTGTACCTTGGAGAAATTCTGGCATTTTGGTCCTGCTGCATTAAACCCAATTTAACTTGGGTTTTTTCTAAAATGCACAAGTTAAGGGGGAGAAATGAATTCTTTTGGGAAGGGGTGGGGTTTTTTGCTTGTTGGTGTGGTTAATTTTTGTTCTTCATGCTCATAAAGCACTGTTAGGAACTGTTTTGTTTCTTTGCATTAAATGCACGATGGTGCATGCAAGTTTCCCCCCTTTTTATAAAATGAATTTGTGTCTCTCCATCCTTACACTTTATTACTCTTTCAACGCTGCGGCTGCCGAGGGTCTTTTCAGGCATTAGATCTTGCAACACTTTTTTCTGCATTTTCTTAATAAAGCAGTTAAACTTGCGGGGGGAGCTTAAAAATAAAAGACTGCCTTTTTTTCTTGGTGATGATAATAACCTGATTTGCATTTATATGTATCTATAATAACATTATAGGAAAACTCTAAGAGCTTCTGATACCCTTTTCGAGAACTTTTAGTTTCTCCATTCATCTTAATTTTTGTCACAACTTAGGATAATAAAAGGGCCGTGTTCTGATGACATAAAGGTGTAGGGTAAATCACTGCAGCATATATATTATTGTGTGTTTGGTTAGGGAAAAGAATGTAATGCTGTGTATTGCTGACTTTCCCCCCCCCCATGTAGTTTTTTTTTTCCCCCTTTAACAGGGAAGGTTATGTAATGCAGTGCCATTTCCAAAAATATCCACTCTGAGGCATTACACTACACGGTGGAAGGCTGATTCCTATTCTGCCGTCTTGATTGCAAATATACTGCCAGTAGTATGTCTGGGAACAAAGAGCAGCCAGAAAACAATCTATTTTTATCACTTAGTTCTACTTTTAAGTTGCTAAACCTTTTGAACTTGTGCAATTTGAAAACGAACCAAACACTAAGAATAGCCCGGGACTCTGCAAAGCCGGGTACCAGGGATTCCTTTGTCCCCTATTTAAGCCTATAGGCCACTTGGAAAGCTCTTTCAGAAATCCCAGTGGTTGCAGTAATTTGCATGTAACTTATCTTAACCACAGAAAATGGCTGTTTCTCTGTAATCTCTAAAGAGGTATTTTTCATTTGCTGACCTGTGGTGAGGTGATGTGTCTACTGTATTTAAACATATTTTGCAGGTTGGTCTCCCTGGACTGAAGAGAGGGAGAATAGAAGCCCAAGACTATTAAGATTCTCAAAATGGTAAGAATTGGTCATCAGAGGAAATTCTCAGTAGCTTCTTATTAGTCTTTCTTTCATATAAATATCAACCACCCACCTTCATATGCCTCAACCCGTCATTGTTCCTGCCCCATCTGACCTTTAAAAGGTTCTATCCCCGCATGTGGGAGCTTTACAGTACAGCAATTTATGTGAATTGGATGAAGCATATTAGGTCTTTTGACTTGCAATTATTTTGAATAGAAAACTAAAATTCCTCTTCAGAAGTGAATATTTAACTCAAACAACAGAAACTATTCTGTTCTTAAAGAAGAGTGAAGTGTTGTGACATGCGTGGAGGTGGTGACAGCAGTAGGGCTCAAACAAAGCAGTGGTCTTGTATTGGAGATAGCCAGAACTTATCCAGAAATCAGGAGTCTGTGTCCAACTAAGCAAACAGTATATGCTATCCTTAAGAGCAATATATATGAAAAGCATGAATTTTTGTATTACAGTGCCCCATCTATTGTATTTGAAAATGTGTTTTTGTTGATTTATACCTTCGTTTAGAAGGGTCATCTGCTCAGTGAGAAGTCAAGCGTGTTAACCTCTAAATAAAAGTGTAGCTATTTCTGACTAGGATTATGAATCACAGAGAAGGCATTTTAATGTTTGATTATGATTAAAGAAAGAAATAGAAGAAATACACATTAAAAGCAGCTGAATGAGTATGTTAATCTTCTATGAAAAATTTCCTTTTTGGAAATAAGGTTGAACTGAAAAAATAATAGAAATGCCATAAAACTTTTCAGTTAAGTACAGCATGTCCTACTGCAGATGTTTATACACTTAAAACACCTCTTTGCCACCCCTTAAAATGTGTGATTTCCAAATTTAGTTTTAGTTTTTTTTTTAAACGAGGGTGGAATTTAATGAATCAGAATTGAGTCTGGTATACTTGATGTTTTCTTTGAGAACAATCCAAGTATATACTTCCAAGGAGAAAAGTGAATCATAAACGAGGGTGGAATTTAATGAATCAGAATTGAGTCTGTTATACTTGATGTTTTCTTTGAGAACAATCCAAGTATATACTTCCAAGGAGAAAAGTGAATCAGGGGCAATTAAATGAGTTCAGTTTGAGTTTTATTAACGAGTAAGCTTTTTATTTTTTATGTATGCCTCACCTGTCATTTCAACAATAAGGTGTCAAAGCACCTAATAAAGTAGGTCTTGCTTGGACCTAGTTTGATAATGATCAAATTAAGGAATTTGAGGTAGAAAGACAAAAGGGGTGAACATAAAATTAAACTAGTCAATGGGTTTTTTGCAAATGGTTCCTAACTTCATATTAAATTCCTAATTAACTATTGTCATAGAGTAATAGAATGGTAACAAAATGGACTTCTGCAAAGTATTTTTGTTTACTTAATTATCTTTTACTGCAGCTGGGCCCATTGCCTTGCATCCTAGCTCTTTAACCCAGAACCTTACCCACTCTGTGTCACCATCAACAGATCATGAAGGTTCATGTATGTTGCAGTATATCAGATGACCAGTTTGGTTAAATGTAAATATGACCACTGACCCGGCCACAACTAGCTGTATAGATCAAGCTCAAAGAGTCAATATCATGTTTCTGTAGTAGTGAGTGGAATGAGCTTTGTAGAAGGCAAGCATGCATGCCAAAGCCGAGAATGAAAGTTGGAATCATTTGAATGCAGAAAAGCAAATGTGAATTATTATTACATGTTAATTTCTTACAGTTGTCATTTATGTATGGTGGCAGAATAGGAAATTACAATTTGTTGCTCTTGGAAGGATTTTTACTCATGAAAAAATTCTCACAACTTTTTGGTGATCCTTTCATTAAGATGTCAGTCCCTTTTGGCACAAGCCCATTGCTTGAAATGAAACCACCGACAGTTATTGTCTGTGGGTGATTCCAAGTAACTTTCTAGCAATTCTCTTACTCCGTGAGGTCTGAGCTCTTAAAAGTCTTTGTACATATTAATGTAAAAAATGTTTCAGTTACGGTTTTTTTAAAGAACTGTCTTGTACCTCTTCTTTCTCCTTTTTGGCAAAATGAAATTAATTTTCTTTTCTTGATTAAAACTGGAATTACTTTGCAGATCTCTGTAACTGTCTTACATAGGGTAAAGACTTGGCCCACATACAATAGAAACTACTGCTAGGGAAGCAGTAGATTTAACTCCTGGCCTTCTCTAGAAAATATATAAGCAAGTCTTTTCTATTAAACTTGTATTTCCTTTACATAATTTGAAACACTAAACAGGATCTAATTTTGTTGTATTTAGCCTATTGAGTAAGTGCTCATTCCAAATACAAATTTATAATCAACTCATTCCAGTGTAAGGAATTACCCAGTAAACTGCAGAATTCAAAACAGTGCTTCAATATCTAGATTTTTTACATACCCTAAAACGATCATGTTTCACAGCAATAATTTGGAGACACTCAAGAATCTTAGAGTGCCTTCTGCATTATCAAACAAATACAGCCACCTTGTACAGCTCTAGGAGGCATCAGTCATATGGTATTCTTTGTATATGCCCCTTTGAGCACAACTGCAGGTGGTGCCATTTACATAGATTACAGGGTGCAGGTTGTGCAACTCAAGAGTACTGTTAAAAGTGTTAATTTTGAGCATCATTTGCCATAGCTTAGTTGACCAGAATATTCTTTTCAATAACTCTTTACCCAACTTTTCCAGATTTTTAGTAAACATGCCTCTCCCCACTTTTTCAGTTTTCTAGTCAACATGCTTCCCCCCGACCCTGCCCTTTTATTTTGCAGTTAGTAGGATATTTTGAATCTGCAGAGATCTTCAGCATTTCTTGAATTTATATTTGTTTTTTTGCTAAATTTTAATTTCCAGGATTATATTTTATATGGGTCCTTGATATTTATTTAGGTATTTTGTTTTAAGGGTACTTGCTTCAGGTATCTCAATGAAAAGAAAACATTTCAGAATGAGTAGATGATCCTATTAAATAGTTTGGAAAAAATAAATTATTTAATCCAATGTCAAGGTTAAGTCGTGGTTTTCAACATGGTTACTCTCTACAAAGTATACTTGCCTCTGAGTATGTGTGTGCTGCGGATTCACAGTTGCATAAGCATGGGCTCATGTTTTAACAGAGACCTAGAAGTTGGAACAATTTACATTCTCTGTAAGGCTGATGGATGCTGAGCTTTTAAAAAAGATGAGTTGACTCCATTGTACTCTTCATAGAGCTCTGCTTTCTGTACAGTTTGTGAAGTGGCATTCATGGGCTTACAAGAAGACTCTTTCAATAATCTCTCCATTAACATAAGGTTTCCTTGTTTAAAGAAACAGACAGAGACTGGGGAGGGATGAGGTCCTATTGGTAGTTTGTGCCATTGGGCTTGGGATGTAAATTTACAAGTTGCTGTGTGACTCTTGATGGTGGAGATGCTGAAGAGTACCCAGGAGGGTAATTTTATATGCTATTAACTTCTCTTTCACCAAGCCTTCCAGTGCACAGTGAGTGGGAGAATTGGGAATTGTTTGGGGAATTAGGACAGTAGAGATAGTCTATCTGGGTTTAATCCCAGTGCAGCTTCCTCTTGAGCTATAGATAATTCAGATAGGAGAAGGTATTTGAGCAGAAAGCTTAGAATAAACAGCTATTCAAAGTATCATTCCAATTTAACCTGCTACAGTTCTTAAAAAGTTAGATGTAAATTAGATCATCATAAATACACTGAAGGAATTCATTTTATTTTAAATGCTAAGATGAATACTTCTAAAATAGGAAAATTTACTTTTAAAATATGAATATATTGCTAAACTAAATGAGTAATCCCCCAATTATGAGTTTTATACATTTAAGTATTCATCCACCTGGTCACTGAAGATCTGAAGTCACATTCAGATGCATGGGACTGGGGAGCTTTGGAGTGAAATGCTGTAGCTTCTGTGCTTCTGCATTTTTTCCTTGGTGCCGTTCCTGGATGGAAAGTCTTTTAAGGCCATATCCTCACAGCCAAAGTGAAATGGAGGATTGAAATAATTATCTGAATAGTTATGCTTTAAAAAACCCTTGATTCCATCTGATTCATCTTAGTACATTCAAAATGTTGCTTGAGTGATGTAGGAGTAGGAGGGATTTGCCTGAATTATCTGTATAATTCCTGTGTTATACAGGAAAAGACTAGGGATAAGGAAATCTTACCAGCAAATCCAATTTGAATATATCAGAGCAAAATGTATTGAATGTACTTGGACTGTGTCATCTTAGTTGATTAAGATATGTTACAAGATTCCAGCTTTAAACTGCTTCTCTGCTTTGAACTGGAAAACAGGTTAATCATAAATCTCAGCCCACATCTGTAGAAATTGTATTTGCTAAAAATATCATTTACTGGGTCTAAATTTATCTCAAACGGATATTTCTAGACATATTTTGTACCTGGGGAGAGCGTCAAGAATATTTTATCTCAGTAGTTTAAAAAATAGCAATGATTCTGAAATTGATCTAGTTCATGACAAATGTTAGCAGCCCTGATGGTTTGGGACTTAAGCATTAACATGGCTCTTAACTAACTTCTAAATATCAATTTAGTTATCAGTAGCAGTGACATGGTATTAACCTGGGTGGCATGATATGTCAGTTGGATCATATGCATTTCTTTCGTTGCCCAACTGAATTATAGGCTCCAGAGGGTTTATAAACTTCATATACAGTGCTTGGTAAAGTACTAAATATACAGTAGAAGCTCAATAAGTGTTTGGTTGATGCATGTTAATATCTGTTAAATTGGACTTTTTTGATTCATTCTTAATAAATTACCCATGTTCATTTTTTGTGAACTGGAAGTAATTTGTATCCTTAACCTCTGTCCTTCTAAGGACCAGGAAGTTGAATGGATGCAACTTTAGTTTACACAGAAAATTATATTTCATTATTTATTGAAAGGATAAAAAAAAATTGTGGTTAAGCCATAAAGTGTGGCACTTGCCAAAAGAGTGGCCTGTGATTGCTCACCTTTACCAG